CTTAACCAATAGTAACGAATTGCTGCTGCAGCGTGCTGCGCATGAAAAAGCACCTTAAGGGTGATTTTATATGCAGCGCGGTATGCGGTAGGTACGCGGTAAAGTATAACTAGGAACCGCGGCGGCAAGCCGCGGTATGTATGTACGCCATTAGATTCTCACGAAACTAGCGAACAAATTGATTTGGATACTACAAACTCTTTGAATACTGAACATTCCAGTGTAAAGATATTATGATACTTTTTATCTACTTAATTTATAATTTTGATCTCGTCTATGTTTGCTGTTTTGTATTTATCTCTTTCTGTTACACACCTTACAGCTTGTGTACCAAACACACTATAGTTGAATATGTAAAAAAAATACTGACATATTGGAAGTAACCTTCCAATATGAATATATTGTACTTTTTCTTATATTATGCATAATAAAATAATCATGTTATGAGCGTAATAAAATAATTTTCTTTGCAATAAATAAATAAACTATATGATATATCAATTCTTATTGGATCGCGAGAATAAGTAAACTATGTTTATTAGAAAAGGTGTATTAAAAATATAGGGAAAGATATATTTTTTAATGTTTATTTTTTTTAAAGTAATTCACATATAATTAATACGTTAAAAATAGCGAATAAGAATCAAATTACAATTTAAAATCTGAACCTGAAGTCTTTGCTAATTCATATAAGTTTGATATATTTCTTCGGATTTCACTTTCGAGGTTTAGTATCTTTTCAGCTTTTTCTTTTTGTTGTTTACTTGTTTCTGGTGTAGCTGGTTTCGAAAGGCCAGTGGTTACTGTATAGAAAACACTACTACTGTCTTCCGATTTAAATACAAATGTCAACCTGTTGAATTAAATTTTGTTATTTAGAAATATAACATAAATGATTAAGCCAGTTCTTTTTTAGGACGAACTTCTTGGATGGTTTATTTTTTCTTTTTTTCCTAAAGAAAAGGAAGAAAAGATGAATCGTACAAGAAGTTTAACTAAACAGAATGGAAATACCATAAAATCATATTATAGAAATATCAAAACATAGGAGAATTAAGAATAAAACAAAATCGCAAAATCACCGTTCATTTTGCAATAATTTTTGCATTTTCTCAATTTTGTTTAAACAGATGTTATACTTTGTTGGCCAAGGTACATAGATCTCTGGCTGAGAATTCTCTCTTTTCTTCACTTCGAAATAGATTACGTCAAGTTCTTCGTTATACTTGTATTTGACATCCCAGTATCGCTTCACTGAAAATCATTACAAGAATAAGTGTCGTGTGTATTTACCACCCACTTAAATTGGATACAATACCTTCGCATATTTCAATGTAGACATAAAAGGCGGTGCTAGTTTTTATCGCGTCATTACAGCCAAGTTTGCATAGATGATAATACTGTAAGCGTACATTGAGAACGATTGCAAAATAATTTTACGTACTAAATATTTAGACATACATAGGCATGCACATTCTCAGACTACAGAGATCCCATACGTCCTTTTGGTTATAACACTTTTTGCTGTTTCTTTAACGTTTTTTATGACTTTAAACGCCAGATGGACACTCAGCTCACGGTGTGATAGAGAAGTTAATGGCATTAATGGAGACCGTAGAAATCGTGGAACAAGTGTGAAAAATATGACACTACCAGAAATATTGAGGGGTGGGGTCGCCTTGGAACATTGGAACAGTTGGAATTTGGAACTATCTGTCATTAGACACATGTACTGGTTTCCATTGATATTTCTTTTCCAAGCTGCGATGACAATTAACGACAAGTAGTTTCTCGCCGAAAAAACGGAGCATTCCACTTCTGCATCTCGCGCACGAGAAAGATGTATGACATATGCCATCCCAGCGTGAGTAATCCGTTTTACTCGGGCCCGAGAAGAAAACGACTTACTTACCTATCGAGTTGAATTAAAGTTTCTTTTGATCGTGCAAAGATGGTCGCTAGAATACGTATCAAAGTAGAAGATATAGAATACGACGAAATATAGAGGAAGAAAATAAAAATAAAGAGAGGCGTAAGAGCTGATTTTTGTAGATTGCCTAAAACGAAGTTAGATTTTCTCGGATTTTCTTCATTATGAGTGCCAATAAGACCTCTGTGAAGTTGGCACCTCATTTTTAAAAAAATGAAATATTCGACAGAGTTCTGAATGCACCCCGAAAAGTTCTGAAGTTCCTGCCTAAAATAAAAAATAGTTCTGACGAATTAGCACTAAAAATCAAAAATTAAAAATTTGGGGTGCTAACTTCACAAAACGCACAACGAAAAACTGCGATATCTTCTAAACCATTAGTCATACAGCTTTAAATGCTAATAACTTTTGATAGAACTCTTGGGGTGCTATCCAGAACTGTCAACAGAACTCCCGTAACAATAAAAAAAAAAATTTTTTTTTTTTT